GGGCCCCCCCCCCTCCAATCGGGTGCGTGGCATGGGAGCTGGGTGGCATCATGGGCCACGGGCAGTTATTGGGGTTCGAAATCCAAACATAATTTGAGACTTGTAGCAGGGGGCATTCCAGTCATACGGCCGGCCCACGGCCCCCACAACGCTGAAGGGACCCATGCACCCCGGCAGGCAGCAGCCAGTTGCCGCTTGCGCACTTTGGCCACGCGGGCGCAGCAGCCTGCTGGTCGTGCTGCTTGCCGTGTTCTGCAGCAAGTGCTGCTCTGACGTTCCTGCGATGCTCCTGAAAAAGATTTTTTCAGGCGTCACACCCTGGTTGCTGTGCATTCCCTGTGGATTGAATTGCCGGTGATGTCAGCAGTGGATTCGGTGTGCCGGGCCGCGTCGCCTCTCTCCTGTGGCGCCTCACTACGCCTCAGCCCACAGGACATGCAAGAGACCAAGCGGGTCTGAGCGCTGCTGAGCCGGCCGCCGCACCAAACTCGAGACTATTCCGGGCGCAGCATCATGCTTCTGCAACGTGGAAATGATTGATCGGCGTTGCAGAAGCTGGGCTGGGCATCGTGCAGCCGGCTGTCGCTGTTGCGAGCGCTTTCAGGCATCCGCGTCGCAAAAGGACGGATTTGTAGGCACCAGAGCGCGATTACATACCCCGCAACTCGGCGGGGAGCCTCGTTTGACACGACCGTTGTCCCTGAGCAGTGGGCGTCGCTCGCGCGCATCGCCTGCACGAGCTAGCATTCAGAAAGTGAATCCCAGGTGATTGCCGCGCCTGGCCCGGCCGGCCCCCTCGCATCAAGGCGAAAAAGGTGCGAAGCCCTTGCCCCCTGGGCTAGCGTGGAAGGGCGTGGCGTTATGTTGGGTGCGGTGCGGCCGGCGGCGGAGGGTTCAAAGGGGCGGCGCGTTTTCCTAGGCTGCCACAGACACCAGCTGACGCCGCGGGGGCGCTTTGCAGGGGCTGGGGTCCGCGGCATGGCGGTGCTACTACGGCAGTGCAGGGCTATATGCGTAGGAAACGGGGTACGAAGCGAAGTGCATGGGCAGGGGGCCACAAACATGCACGGGAATTCCGGTCCCAGATACACTACTTAGATCGGCAGATTCGGTGCCGGGAGGGAAGAGGGGGCAACGCGGCATCAGCGCACCCACACACTTGCTACTCCTCAGGTGGCCGGCTGCTGCTGCTGCTGCTGCTGCTGTGCTGCCACTGCTGGTGGCTCTGCAGCCGACCCCAAGTGTTCAGCGTGCACTGCCTGCCTCGCCGCACCCACTCCCCCGGCTGCCGCGCCCTCGGCTGCCGCACCCTCTGCTGCTGGCCCCCCTGCTGCCGTCCCCACTGCTGGCTGCCCGTCGACTGTAGGCGATGCCTCTGGAGCGCCCTCAGGAGCATGCTCCTTGCGAGTCCCCTCGGTCGCCGGTCCCTCGGTCGCCGCCCCCTCGGTCGCCGCCCCCTCGGCCGCCGCCCCCTCGGTCGCCGCCTCCTCGGCTGCGGCACTCTCGGCCGCTGCCCCCTCGGCTGCAGCCCCCTCGGCTGCGTCGCCCTCCGCTGCCCCTGCCCCCGCCCCTGCCGTTGGTGCCTCGGCCGCAGCCGCCGCCACTAACTCAGGCTCCTCAGGGGCCGGCCCCTCCGCGGCTGCAGCTGCATCCGGCTCGGCAGCCGCCGCATGGGCCGCGGCGCCCTCGCCCTCCCTGTCGTCCTCGTCAGCAACTTCCTCAAACGCATCTTCCGTATCCTCGGTGCCTTCAGCTGTCTCACTGGCGCCGCCCGCCACCGCCGCGAGCCGCGACCGCCCCCGCGCCTTCCCGCGTGCCGCCGCGCCGCCGCCCGCCTCGCCCCTGCCGTCCCCGTCACCAGTGGCCCCCGCCTCGCGGCCGCCGCCCTCGCCGCCGCTGGCCTCGCCTTCCGTGGGGTCGACGCTGCTGCCCGGCCGGCTGGGCTCCCCGGCCTCGCTGCCCGCGCCGCTGGCGGTGTCTGTGTCGGCCACGCTGCCCGGGCGCAGCGCCAGCTGGACGCCCGCCAGGGCGGCGGCGGCTGAGGGGACAGATGTGACCATGTCCAGCATGTTCTGGAGCTCCTGCGGCCGCGGCGGCGGCGAGAGGAAGATGAGCAGGCACGCGCGCCGGCACGCGTCGACATCCCTGCGGCAAGCGTGCAAGCAGCTGGCCAGGGGCCCTCCGCTCCCATCGCCGAGCACCCGTCGCTAGCACGAGGCAGGTCTACTTCCTGGCTGCACCACCGCACTCTGAAAAAGCAACGTGCAGTAACAGGACCTGGGCAGCGGCTTGATTTTATCTTGTTCTCTCAAGAGGTGCCTGCTCACCTGCACCCGGATCTCCATGCACGACTCCTTGTCCATGGCCCGCACCAAAGCGCGCTTGTATTGAAGGTTGATGCCTGCGGTATGTGTGCACGCGCATGTGTAGGTGTGTGTATGTGCGCATGTCGTGTCGGTGTGCATGTATGGAACGTGCATGTGTGTGTGTGTGTTTAAGTGTGTGTGTGTTTGAGTGTCTGTGCATGTGTTTGTATGTGTGAGTGTGTTTGTGTGTTCGTGCACGCGCGTGTGAGTGCGTGCGTGCGTGTGTGTGTGTGCGTGTGTGTGTGTGTGTGTGTGTGTAGGTGGTATCGCACGCGCCAGGTGGCTGCTTGGTTGTGGGGGGTGTTTTAAGTGGCACAGACTGCTCCGGGCCACAACGAAGGGACTTTATCAAGCAGCCTGGCGCCACACGTCAACCCAGCTAGCGCTTGCTGCTGAAATGCACGCGCGCGCATACACGCACGCACTCACACACACACAAACACACACACACTCTCTCTCTCTCCCTCTCACACAACCCACGCGCACACGCCGGGGCTCCTACGGGAGCGTGTCATGCCAGACTAAACGCAGCAGGACGCGCCAGCCGGTACGTGCTGCACTGGCACCTGCCCTTGCCTCTGAGGCCGGACCCTGGGCACAAAAAACCGCCCCGCGAGCACCCTAGGGGCTCGCCCAACGGACACCAGCGCCCAAATAACCCCAGCACCCACACACACAGTACAAAACCTGATGGAATTCGAACAGGCAACCCGCCTTCAACGACTGCCACGAGAGCTCAAGTGCCCTTCCACCCCCACCCTATCTCCCGCGCCTTCTCCCCTCTCCCCGTGTGAGACGATGCTGACCCTGAAACCCAAGTCGAAACATATGAAACTACACCCGTTCTCATCGAAGCATACACACTATCAAACAACTCGCGCGAGGTCATGGGACCTTGAGATCACCCACCCTGCAGATCTGCCAGCTCCATCTTGATCTGAACCAGCGCCATCACCAGATGCTGGTTCTCCCCGTCCAACGCCGCCAGCTGGCGCTTCGCCTGCCCCAGCTCCCGCGCCAGCTCCTCCGCAGCTTCCTTCGCGAGCGCCTCCCCGACTGCCGCGCCGCCGGTGAGCGCTCGGTTCACGCGGCCAAACAGCCGCCCGTACGCGCTCGGCGGCGCCGGCAGCACCGGCGCGCCTGACGCGTCGGCCGAGGCGCTCAGCTTGAAGCTGCCGCCGCCGCCGCCGGGCGGCGAGGGCGGCGGGAGGCCGCCCAGTGGCACGTCCAAGCCCTCGAGGATCCGCGGCGACCCAGCATTCGACGGCGTGTCGGCGCCGCTCGCCGCGCCGCCGCCCCGCTCGTCCCCATCCCCCCCGTCCCCGCCCGCGTGCTGCTGCGCGCCGGCGCCGCCGGCGCCGCTGACGAGCCCCGCGCCGCCCGGGCCGCGCCAGCGGCTGAGCAGGCCGCTGCCCCAGCGGCGGGTCCCCGAGGGGGCGCTGCCCTCGACGCTGCTCGGGGGCGCGTCGTGGGGGGAGGTGCCCAGGAAATGCGCCAGCTGGCTTTCCAGGTGGTGCTTGTCCGACTCCATCTCCGCCTTCTCCAGATCAGCCTGGATTTGGATGGTTGTAGATTGCGGGTTGGGGCGGGAAACAGGGGTTTGCGGCCGCCAACAGGTGGTGGTGCAGTCACAGGCTGCGCCGGCGGCGTCCCTGAGTCTCAAGGAAGGGATGGGCGCCGGGGCTGGGGCTGCGGCGCTCACTCACAGATTTACGTTGCCTACCCTTGGGCAGCCCACCCGACATCCTGCACCCCCCAAAAGGTGATGTCAGAGTGACGTCATCGGAAACAGGCGCGTCGGCTCGCCGGGGCCCACCTGCTCCATCCTGTCTTTGAGGCGCCCCACCATCTGCTGATAGAGCTCCAGCTGCATCGTCAGGTCGTAGTTGAGCTGCTGCAGGGCAGCCACCTATTGGTTTCGAGACGTGTGTGTTTGGGGGGGGGTGTGGTTGGGGGGTTGAGAGGTAGGGGCTGGGTTGGGTGAGAGAGAGAGAGAGAGAGAGAGAGAGAG